CAGTTGATGTAATTTCTAAATTAAATAGTTTTTAAATTTTATTGCGATAAATATTACCACAGCCTCAGTGGTCGAATTGGCACGACACCCGCACGGTATACGGGAGGTTCCAGGTTCAAACCCTGGCTGGGGTAATATTTTCCGCAATAAAATTTAAAAACTATTTAATTTAGAAATTACATCAACTGACCTAAATCCATGGTCAAAATTAATAATGTCTCGATGATTGATCCGAAAAAAGTGCTGTGTGAATCCGACAAACTAAGTTGGCTCACAGTTTTTCAATGTTCATATCGAAAAAGACGTTATATATTGCCAGTCACGGTCGATTTAAATTACTTTAATAATTATTATTTATATTTAGTAAATTTATATTTAGAAAAAAAATTTTATTTGTGATTGTGATGTTTATGCATACATTTAGTAATGTTTTGTATGATATATTTCGAACCAAAATACAATATACAGAGGCATATCGCATTCACAACACATAAACTTTGGTTTTCGACGAATACCATTTCCTAAACATACTACGCATTGGCCATTATCACTTGTTTCTCTTAGATTCCTGGAACTGCGGAACTCATCGACCCAAGAATAAACCCTTATTATTTTTACGCATAAATAATTTAAAATCTAAAAATAGATATAAATTTCCCGTCCTTCAAAAGTTAAGTTAGAATTACTATAAGAAAAAGTACAGAGTTTAAGTATAAAATTTAAAAAGTTACAAGCAAATTCTGGCGTATCCTAGATTATAATTTTTTCATTCTTTGCTTAACATTTTTTTTCCTTTAAAACATATGTGCAATTTTAGATGACATTATTGTCAATTTCGTATCCCGTGTAAATCCTTTATGAATTCTACATGAAAGTACGACAGAAGCGAGGACATCGATTGGGAAATGTCTATGGAAACAATTGTCGCGAGAAAGGCGCCGAGGCCGAACCAACCGACTATCGTTAGAGTTATATTTTGCAGGGTGCTATACTAATTTTTGAAAACCGTTGCGCCATTCACCCTCCGACACATGAAACGCGTCATCGATTTCATTTGCACGTTCGACTTTCTCACTCTCTTTTTTTTATTTTCGTTTTCACGGCATTATTCGATCAAAACGGAAAAAAAGGAAGAAAAAACGCGATGATTGTCGTGGAATGAGAAGGAACCGCCTTACGCAGCATAAGAGAAGAGGAAGAAAGGAACGTGGGCTTTGCCGGTGTTCATTCTTGCAAATGCCGCGGTAACTGGAGAAAGAAACGTGCTCGTTAAATTATAACAGCCATCAAGTTCCGCTTCCGGATAAAAGCGATTTAACAAAATGTGGAAGAAGGAGGGAATGTGGAGGTTTGGGGAATAAAAAAACAAGGAAAAAGAGAAAGAGTGAGAGAGAGAGAGAGAGAGAGAGAGAGAGAGAGAGAGAGAGAGATTGCGCGGCAGAGGGTGGCTCTATATGCATACGAGAACATTCAGGTGTCAATCAAGGCTCGGGATCTTTGGACTCTGGGGTGTCGCGCTCGGAACACACATATGATTTTTCCGCTAAAAATTTACGTATTCATTCACGCGAGGACCGCTCGCGCGAATGGAGAGCGTTTTGGTAGGGCAGATTAGAAGAGAGTTCTGTTTGCTTTTTCACCACTCTTAACTTCATATTTGAGAGCATATTTTTTGCGCCAACTGTCACGCATTGTTAACGTCAAATCGCGTTTTTTCCATTTCTTTTTTTTTTGTATACGTTGCGCTGCCAATAACGGCGGAAAGAAGGAAATGATCGCCTGTGCCGCGACATAGGAAAGTTCCGCGATTTCAAGCGAGAACATACACGAATATCTGCGATACATTCACGACCTGACGCGACGAATTTTGTTGAGACATTCTTGATAAATTATTTTTCACTTATATTCTATAAGTAAGCTATTCTTTATATATAATAAATATTACGATTTGTACGATAAAATATATATTATGTATGTGTGAATTAGACACATATACAAAAACCAATTCTCTAACTGTCTAATTCGTCTAATTGTAAGTATCGAATTTTAGAAAGATATATTTTACCTTCATATTTTTAAATTATTTATCGATTTATTCACTTCTTATTAAAGAATTTTAACTCAAAATTATTCTTATATACGTGATATTTCTTATACTCTTGTATTCTTTAAAATATAAAAATTTTGGACGTGTTTATGGGCGGACTAATACTTCTTCTTAAGTAATTTAATTTAGTAACAAGTAATAAGTAAAGTTTCCCTCTCTCTTTAATTTAATATTATCAACATATATCTATAAAATAAGTCAGTTAAATAAGTTAAACAATGTGAAAGAAAGGATTATAACGGATAGGAAGATGCATCTGACAAAATTCTCAGACTTTTGATAAACTGCGGATGATTTATTGTTGCTCGCAGCGATATTCGCATCGTACACGCTATCCCACACAACAACAAATAATAACACGTAACGAATGTTCTGTCATATGAAATTATCGCAATAAATTCCCTCGCAGATCTATGAGAGATGTATGAACCGATGAAACGCTAGACAATTGAATCAAATCACTGACGGATTAGATATTTCTGCACTCCTCGCGATCGGCGTTGACTGGCCAATCGCAAATGAGCTTAGAGATTTGGAAGATCAAACCGGCCGGGCACTTTGTCTTGATCGGTTTGCCGTGGTTGCAGACGTAGTACTGCAAAAGAATACACATTATATAAGAGCTGCATGTACAAAGCATAGTTCAGAACGTCGTGTTAAAAGAAACCATTTTGAAGAAATATTTTTTGGATATATCCGATGGATAGCTTAAAGATTTTAATTTCCGCACTCAAAAATCGAAAATCCGCAAACTCGTGGTATTCGTATATCTCGAAATAATCATTAAAATCGTAGATCGATTCAAAGATATTTTTGTATTCATAAACGTACCACTGTGCAATCTTTACTGGGGATGATATTCGGGCCGTTGCACTCGATTTCGTTTTCATCGACTGGCGTTGTAGGACGAGGTACTTCGGTAGTTACCTCGGGATTTGTGGTGGGTTCAGGTTCGGGTTTCGGTTTCTCCTCACCTGTCGAAGGTGTAGTGCTGGGTGGTCTGTCCCATTCGGGCTGAAAACAAATCGTGATTATTACATTCGCACTCTCCGATAATAGCGAGACGTTATCCGAAATTTGGATATGCACTATTTGAACACATAGAGCGATTTCAATTAAATTCCGATTATAGTTTAATCGGCAATTATTTTATCAAGTAATATTTTTGTAGCATTTTGTTAACGCGATTATTGACTTTGTTATTTGATAGACAGAAAAGGACATTAGAGATCAGAGACGATTATACAATTAAAACTTTTAGTGTAAGATATTCTGTCGGTTGAACTAATCCCTGATTAAATTAATCGGAATCTCTCGTAATATTAGTTGACTAACGCCGTACCCTGGGAGTTGTCTTGTAATCCTTAGGTGCTACCGTATAACCCTTCAGACCGTTGTAAATTGCGGTCATGAGAGGATTCGTAGGACCGCAGAGTCCTTTAAAGTCGTCCATGTCGACGGCCCAGACCATGGCACCGAGATATTTCTTTTCCTTGAGGAAGTTCATCTTGTGGACGATACTGTCAGCGTCCTCGTAGCCAACCCATTGGGGGGCTTTTCCTTCTTCTAAAAACCAAAACTTGCTAGTAATTCAAACTATTGCAAACTAATCTTGTCTAGATTAATTAAAGATAAGTTAGCCTGATAAATACCAAACAGCAAAATATGTTTTATCTGATTTTACAAAGAAAACGGATGCAAAATTGAATTTTAATATAAAATAAGTGCATCAGTAAATAAGTTAAAAGTAAATAAGCATTATATCAACATATATAATATAACTTCTTTTGAAATTAAAACAAAATATTTATAACTTTAAATTTTGATCCCATACAAACCATAATTAATGCTTCTGGAGAATAAAAATGTGATAAAAATAATAAGAATAAAAATTTGATAAGAATAAAAATGTGATAAAAATAATATTTTTATTTAATAAAAGAATTGAGTTATTAAACAATATTTTTTCTAAGCGGTCATTCACTGCGGTGCATTCACCCAGTAATATTTATAAATCGATTTTCCCCACTTTGTTCACCGGATTTTCAAGCACTGTCACAAGTCATTTCGCGAAGTCATAGCGTAAGAAATTTTTATTTAAACGTCTATAAAAATTGAACTCACTCTTGTACATATAGGGTACTTTGCCCCCGTCATCGTATTCCTTGATCCATCCGTTTTGATTCGACTGTTGAAGTTCCATACAGATCTGGAAAAAATAGAAGAATTTTGACGTGACGAACGCGTCTGCTGACATTGCTCCAGCTTCCGCTCGTTTCCAGCCCTCTGCGGATCGATCACTTACCTCGTAGTAAGATAAGAATCCTTTAGCTCCGGTGTATTTGCCGGGTGCACCGCCACCCGCTTCCTTGTTGATGTAAGTGCCAGGCTTGAAGTTGTTGTTGCCCTGGCTAAGAGTGAAAGTACGTCCGTACAACGGGATTCCTACGACGAGCTTGTTGGCGGGGCATCCCTTGTCCTCCCAGAGTTGAAGACCGTCGTGCTGAAATAATGGCAATAATCTCATATATCGGTGGATCAGTACTCCAGTACTTGCATCACGATTGACAATTTCAAGATAATTGTTTAAGATAACTTTTATCAACGTGAATCGATTATTGTACGGTTGTTCTAATTATATAAGGATGTATAGATCACACCTTTAGAAGAATTCTGTCACATCTCAAAAATTCACCATTTTCAGGAAAGAGAAAACAAATTTAATTCAATTTTTTTGAATTGTGAGATAACTAACGCAATTATACAATTACGATATTTATAATAAAACTTATACTGGTTCTTGAAGAGGTCTGATAGTCTGATGGGTTCAATGAAATAGTCTTGTTAATTCACTTATGACACTCAGCGATATTCAATCGGTGATCGCAACATAACCGTTTAAAAAGAATAAAGACATTTCTGCTCCGTGCAACGGATTTCGCATATAGACTTGTGACACTATATTATAGTATGTAGGTGACATTTATACTTTTTGCGCTTAACTCAAAATCAAAATTTTTTTGAGTTGTGACAGCATTCTTTTAAGGGTGGGATACTTACGTCTTTTTATTGGAAAAATATATATAGAAAGTTTACCACGTTCAGTTTCTCGTAGGCATACTGATCGTGAGGTCTCCTGTAGAGCGGGCTGTGGACATCAGCGAATCCGGCCCAATTGCCACGAAGATCATAAGACATCACGTGGATGGCATCGGTGAGTCTGCAATTATTAATTAATTAAATAACGATTAAGAAAGTTATTAAATTATTATTAAATCCTTTGCATATTAATATTTATTGTGTCATATATTTCACATTTTATTTGTGCATGAAGAATATTAGTTTACATTAATTGAATTATTAATCTAACATAGTAACATAACATGAATAATTTACAGAAGAGATACTCACTCGCACAATTCTGGTACGTGGTACCCTTCGTTAAGACGGAACGTAGCCATTGGCACCGCCATCGTGATCTCCCAGCCTTTGCCAACCTTATCGAACGCGGTCCTCAACTCCTCGACAAAGTAGAAGAAGTTGTTCTTGTCGCTGAATTTGCCACCTCTGTCGCTAGCAGCCGGATATTCCCAATCAAGATCGAAGCCGTCGAACTTATACTTGTGCATGAATTCTGCCAGCGAAATCAGAAATTTTTTATTAAATCTTTTCATATTCAATTTGCGTGATCCACATTCCTAAGAGAGATATCGCATAAAGAAAAGTTTTTTTTGAGTTTTTGCCTTTAAATTACATTTTAATATATATTAAACATAATAGATAGACCTTTTCATTGCACGTAACGATGTTTACTATCTATAATTACGCAAGGTTCTTAAATGTTACAGTAAAAGGCAAATCTTTTTCTTCCCAGTAATCCTATGAATAAAGCGTCATGCTCGAATTACGCTCACCGACGATGCTGCTGATTAGCGAGTCACGTCTGGCTTTCACGCTAACCATCGCGCTGTACTTTTTACCACCCTCGCCCCAACCACCAATCGCGACCAGGGTCTTCAGGTGGGGATGCTTCTCTTTTAGAGCGACGAACTTGCTGAAGCCGCCTTTTTGGACGTCAACCTCCTCATCGAGAACGAGTACTCCCCAGGTGACGTTACTCACGCCGATGAAGGAGTAAATGACATGCGTGCACATCTCAGCGGGAATATCGTCGATGCCGTAGCTGCCTACATCCGGACGGTAGATAGCCCAGTTGCTAAAGTAACAGACCAACCTTGGGGCCTCTGTAAAATATACATCATATATATCATTTAAAGCATCGCGTATCAATAAATTAATCGTTATCAGATTGCCTCAAATGTAATTATTTTCAATTTACCATCAATATTTGCCTTATTATCTTTACCTTTTCTAAATTGTACAAACACATATATATATTATTTTTATAATATATTATTTTTAATATTTTTAATATTAATATATAATATATAATTTATTTTTATTATTCATAATATACATATAATAAATATATGTATATAAATTATAGAAAAAAAAAGAAAATAAGAATGAAAAGTTGCAAGGTCGTAATAATGTTCAGCCCATGTTTATCGCGATATTTTATAATAACGCAAATTTTTATGCAGTTATAATTTTACTTTATCATCGAAAATAAAACGCACCAGCTGCTCCGTATGCCAGAAGCGCCAGGAACAAGGGCAGGGAAAACAACAGCTTTCCCATTGAGGACGTCATCTTGGAATCTGCAATTAAGGAGAGATAGAGAGAGAATTTAGCAAAATAATATTATATAAATAATCACAAGATAACAAACAATTTGCTACAAAAGAATGTATAATAAAATATTAGACTTATCGCGGGGATTGTCTTGAACTGTATTTCTGAATCTTTTTGGTTTGTTTGACTCTTTTCTCGTAGATTTTTCTCGCGAATACGGTGTTACCTTTACGGTGCGTAGGTATATACACACAGCCGATCTCTTTATTATAATAAAATGTAAGCAAGCTCTATATTTTCTATTCTATAAGGAATCGCAGTGCGTTCCGGGTCCCGTACGATTTACTCGGCACTCGACGCGCTTCTGTACCGCGGCCAGTCGGCCGAGCGCTTCGTGTCCGGCCTTCGCGGAAACTTCTTGGAGCGTAAAGCGATCGATTTATTTTCGATGTGCCCGAGGGGAATGATCTATGAACGACCGGTTTCTCCGATGAACGTTGACACCATCGTTGAAGCCTTCGCGCGGCTGTGTGCTGTGTGTATCGCGACGATGATCGCCCGGCTCATCCGTGCATGAATCCGCGCGCGACTAATAGCGTTTTTCTTTGGCAGAACTGGTGCGCACTAAGTGCACATTAAAGCCGTCGTAGACAAATCAACGTGTAAAGTATATGTTTAATATATACGGGTTGAGTCACGAAATCCTCAATATTCTTTATTGTTACTATTTGGTAAAATATGTATTGGGTATTTTATCAGTCGAAATATTTGCATTTTACTTTAAATATTAGAAATTAAATCGGTATACAACGGCTTTTTAATGTGCACTTGAGTGCGCACTAGTTCTGCCAATGAAAAACGTTATAAAGAAACCATTCAAAACTTCATCCGGCGGGATCGTCTTCCCGCGATCGCGAAACCAGCGCGCGGCCTCGCGACAAGGACTCATCTTTATGCGAACGTGCGCATAAAAATGATATTCTTTTTAAACGGACTAACAAAAAAAAGAAAATTATGTTATCGTAACGATGACTGCCGATTAATAGACAGCTTGGAAATTGGCGAATGTATGATATATTTTTAGCGCAAGTTACCTGAAAACCATCTCGGTCTATCGATTTATCCGCGATATAAAATGGTACTCGGATAAGCTTGATATTCCGACGCTTTATAAATGGCCGCGATTAAATTAATTTAACACGGAATCGATCGTACCGTGTGACACGTTCTGCTATTGTGAATATATGTATTCGTGCGCCTATTATAATACGTTACGGTCTGTTTTAATAGATGTTAGATAGACGTTAATGATGTCTAACTGTTAACAGCTGATTATATATTCAATTATGCCAGCCAGAACGAACCCATCGATCCATCTTTGAATAGAATTAAACGAATAACGGATAACGGTTACACGTAAAAGTCCCGTATAATTGGATTATTCTATATTCTGTAATATATAACTATTAATACGAATTAAGGAACGAGATTCAAATTAAGAAAGACGTAAAACTGATGGTCCAATTCGAAGACGAGAAATCGATTGATCGCAACGTTAGCTTATTGAACTTACATTCACGTTGAATCACAGTTCCCTACTCGCTCCGCAGCTGGATTTTCAATCCAGTATTGGTATTGGAATTGGAGTTACAGTTTTGAGAGAAAAATGGAGAAAATCCCGAGCTTCTTCATTCATTCGACCATACGATTTAGATGCTATTAAAGTCAGATATTCTAAACGAGATCTCCAATTTTCGTACAAAATCGCGATCACCAATCATGCACGTACTCGATCACGAGGTTCGAAGGAGTCGAAGGAAGGACGAAGGATTGCTTCCGAGGATTTCCCAGTACAATCTTCATCCGACATAGAGGAAACAGAATTACGGCCGCACAATAAAGTTTTGCGGCATTATAAAACGTACTCCGGGGGAAACCCTAGGTTTATTCCTGCTAGCCCAGTAAAATGACTCGAAATTTGTCGATTTGGAGGAAATAATACTGACTGGGCTGAAACTTTGTAAACAGGCTTGTTTTAGGATACTATTTAACATATTAAAAGTCCCCACGTGTAGACGCTACGTTGCGGGCAGGGGAGGGTCCAAAAGGTCCAAAAAATTAGTTTTTCGCAAATAACTCGGAAAATATCAACTTTACGGATATTTATGTAGATATCAAAATTGTAGCTTACAAAATTCCGCACAATTTCGTTTTTTATTCAAGTCTGTACGACCAAATAAAGCAGAGATAGAATTTTTTTAAACACCAGTAGTTTTGCGACGCAACGAAAACGCGTACGTGCTTCGCGCATTTTTTGCTAATATCTCGAAAATGAACTTTCGAATCGAAAAATGTTTTAAATAAAAGTTGTAGAGAATCTAATTACGAACCATTTCGTGTTTTATTCATTTTTGTACAGTGAAAAATTGAAGAAATATGAATATTTAAATAATTTATAACCGCCATAGAAGAGATACGATGGAAATTAGTTGTTAGTCTTCTTCTTCTTCTTCTTTATTTGCGCACTATTTGAATAGTCTTCATCCGATTCGGAATCGCTCATTTCGTCAGATATGAACATATTTAGGCAGCCGTTCTGTTTGCAATTAGCACAGAGGTCAGAACATCTTAACCCTGCCTTTTTGCAGCCACATGACCCGGTGCAATTTGATTTGCATTTACATGCTATTAATTTAAGAAAAAAAATAAAAAAAAATTAAAAAATTAATAAATCAATTAAAAAATTAAAAATAAATAATAAACTCAATAAATAATAATTAAAAATAAATAATAAACTCAATAAATAATAAATAAATAATAATAATAATATTAATAATAATAATAATAATAAATAATAAATTAATTTTTTTACATAAAAAATATCTGTCACACTTCAAATTCGTTTTTTCTTATTCAGAAATTCTTTTTCTAGCATTCTTTAAGTCCTTAAAGTCCTTTTGTACCATTTAAAAATTACTAAATTTGCGGCGACGAAATTAAGTATTCTTATTTAATTAATAATTATTTCATATTTTTTTCTCATTTGCACTACTTTTAGCTTTAATTTGCGTGTTTGATCATTAAGTTTCGTCAATTTGTTCGTGAGTTATGATTTTTTAAATAAAACGAGTCGTAAAGTGTTTGCCACGCCGCGCGCCGCATATCGACTAAGGACTCTTCTCAATCTTTAATACCTATGTACAGTACTATCGGTCCTAAAAATATCGGCTTAGTACCAAACAATTCAGAAAGACCCCAAAAATAACTTCTGACACTTCAATAGGTACAGAAAAATGTTAAGGACACGTTTTTTCATCATTTCAGGCGACTCATAGTGATGATCTGCTACATACGTAAACTTACCTGTCTTTTGAAACGCCAGTTTCCCATCACAATGCATTCAAAATTACATGTCATAAACTCCAATTTATAGGAAATTTTGTCAGCTTTAATTTCGGTCTCTTGAAGTTTTTTCGTAAAGTTAATAGAAACGGAGATATTTATAAAAAAAGGAATGATAATGCAATTTTTCCACAATTTATCAAAAATACAGCAATATTCATGAACTTTTTTTTAAATAAAACATACTTTGCGAAGGACTTATACTACTCCAGCACGTTCATATATATATGAAGTAATGAAAACAAGGTAAAATAAATTTTTGAAAAATTATTATCCATATATTTTTGGACTAAAATGTTAATTTAACAAAAATTGATTTTTTTTCTTCAATATTTAAACGCCTGTAATTCATCAACGTTTCAATGAAAAAAGGTCTACGACGTCTCATTTTAAAGATAATTAAAATATCTTCAAGAAAAATACATAACATTACTGCCTCCAACCAATTAGAAAAAGTTATTTTCCGAAATGCACTAAAAAATGACATTTTTTCATGTTTTTTGCTCTTAACTTCAAGCTATCTTTACCAAAATGGATTCATGCATGCATCAACATGTTCAAAATTTTATTCTCTTTAACTTTCATTATATATACTATATGTGTACGATCTATACTTTCAGAGTTAATACTGATTTTTACATGCAAAACATCCACTATCAACATAAAATAAAATTGTCTTTTAATTAATAACTCGGCGAATTTGGACCGTACAAAAATAAATAAAAAACGAAATTGTTTGTAATTAGATTCTCTACTACTTTTATTTAAAACATTTTTCGATTCAAGAGTCCATTTTCGAGATATTAGCGAAACGCGCGTACGCGTTTTCGTTGCGTTGCAAAACTACCGATGTTTAAAAAAATTCTATCTCTGCTCTATTTGGTCGTACAGACTTGAATAAAAAACGAAATTGTGCGGAATTTTGTAAGCTACAATTTTAATATCTACATAAATTTCCGTAAAGTTGATATTTTCCGAGTTATTTGCGAGAAACTAATTTTTTGGACCTTTTGGACTCTCCCCTGCCCGTAACGTAGCGTCTACACGTGGGGACTTTTAATATGTTAAATAGTACCCTAAAACAAGCCTGTTTACAAAGTTTCAGTCCAGTCAGTATTATTTCCTCCAAATTTTGTCATTTTACTGGGCTATGCGTAAAATTGAGCGAGCGCTCGTGGCCGTTTCGTTCCCCACCACGTAAGAAAGGCAAACCGGAAGTCGCAGGCGGGCGGCGATGCGGCATTCGCTCGCGCGTTTTATCAACAACTCGTCGGAGAGCCTCCGCTTCCAAATAATTATGTAAAATGCACCGAACTCTCTCTGTGTGCACGGGTTTATTTCGAGGAGCCCGGCGTTCGTTCGACGGACAGCCATCACGAATACCGGTGTTGCGGGTCTGTCTATAAACGTGATAAGTAGAATTAACGACCGAGACACCACACGGTCGGCGAGATAATGGGGAAGACGAAATGTTTTGAAGTTATAAAAATCCCCCGAAGTTGTTTTCCGCCTCTAGCTTCCCCTCTCTCCCCCTTTTCTCTAGGACAGGACCGGCGCGCCGAATAACGATCCGAATTCGGCGACTGGGCCTCTCGGGAGAAATCAAAGACCGTCCTTCGGATTCTACGACCGCCGCGTGTCGAAATAAAGAAGTAGCGGGTAATGTCGCCAGCGGTGGTTAAAAATAAATGAAACGAACGAAAATGCACCGCATGCGGGAGCCTTCGCGTCCGCGCGACCGCCCGCGCCGCGAAGGATCCTCGCCCGCGAATTAAGATGCGCGATGCGGAGCCGATTCTTGTGGAGACTCCTCTGTTCCGCTCGTTACACTTTGAATACAAACGCCACTCGAGTCCACAAACGAGTTTCTCGGACGTAGGTACGTCGTACTGGTAAATGCCTTTGTCTCGTTTAACTATAAAGCTAATTGTAAGATGGTGCTGACCGATCTTAAAAAATTGCATTTAAAATCGCCCAAGTTGGCTCGAGTGTTTTTGTGTAATATCAAGTTATTATGAGTAAAATATACTCAATTTAAGTCATTTCTAACCATTTCTACAGGTCGCCACTGCTCCTAATCAATACACTGAGAGAAAAGTATGTGGTATTCGCGACTATAATTGCATAGTAAAATAATTATAGTTTAGGTTCTTAATTTTATAGTTGTTATTGTTATAATATTAGTAAAAATGATCTTATATGCATAGATTTTTCAATTATGGTCATTTTCATCATATTTATAGTACGACTTATTATATATAAATCACAGATTCTAGTATATAAAATCATGTTATGATTAAATAAATGCATGTTAAAATTATGTAGTAAGTCAGCTATATAATTCGCATTATTAAAATAACTATAAAAATGTAGTTGGCATCGAAAATAACTAAAAATTATAGTGAAATTATGGTAACTACAACTATTTTTTCTCTCAGTGTATGTTGTTAATTTAACTAAATCAATGGAGTTAAAATAATTCTACTTTGTGTTAAAATAATAAATTTCAACGCACATGGTAGTTAAAAATAATAAAATGTTATTTAACTTAAGGTAAATGATTCCTTTTCTAAAAAGGAGATGTGAAGTTTATTGTTGCCGCTTTTCCGCGATGCCGATTGGTTTTCTTGCTGCGCTTACTTCATTTGCAGCTGTCATTGTATATTTTGACAGTTGTGTATAATAGGGTTAATAGTGAAATGTTAAAGATAAATAGCGCGCGCGTAGCGCGCGTCTGTAGTGTCTAGTTATTTAAATTTCATCCTTTAATATTTAATAGTGTAATTCTTCGAGTAGCTGGTTTTTTTATAGACACCAATAATTTTAATGGTCAACTTTCAACTTTTTTACTGACAATGAAATATCAAGCGTTAGTTTCATCGCGCATTATTGAATGAAATACTATATTATTATAGATAAAATACACAATTGAAAATATTTGCAAAGAAATATTCTAAAAATATATTGCACATATGTATGCGCGCTTTTGTGTGTTATGTGTGATAGTAATATGAAAAAAAACAAAAACAAATTGTTTTAAAAACCATAGCAATTTGATTGCATATCGTTATACCATACCTCCATATTGATATATTAATTGTACATTGTTTCTCGAACGAATATCTCTATACCGTCGATTTGCACCGAGCGGGATGTATAAAATGAATTGGAGAACAAAGACGAGGGTGACATTTGTATTCGAGTAATCGCGTGTTCATGCGGGATGACGATACGGGCGCTTCGCAGCAGCCTCTCATAGAGACGTCGTTAAGAGTATCCTCGCGTCCTGGCGATATCGCGCTGCTCGCTTTGCCAGTGCCGAGGTAACGGTTCGATCCGGCTTGGACGATGTTAATTAATGTTTTGTTATTCGATCACGTCTCTGCCCGCAGATCGGTAACGGTGATTCTCTTACGAAAATCCCGGAGTTTTCGTTTTGGTACGGTAATACTGGGCCCGCGCGGAGTTTCGTGCCTTATACGTCGGCACACCTCCGATCTGACCTTCGTTTCGGCTGTCGAAAAGGAAGCAAAGGAAACGTGGCGAGTTCCGCCTGTGCCTCGCGCGCGAAAGGCCCACATTAAAAATATCTGGAATTTCGGTGTAAAAAGAAAAGAAAACGAAGAGAGAGATTAATGTAAATAAAATCGAAACGTTGCGGGGTCGTCCTCGATGAAAAGTCATCGCTCGAGAATTCGCGACCGGTCGATTTGACCCGAAACGTTGCGGAGGAAGTATCGCCGATCCGCCTGAACTGATACAAAACGGTTGAGACGAAACGTTCAATGTAAATGACGAAAAAGAAAACACGAGACGAAAATTTCGTGGTGGCACGAGTGTTTCGGCACGTAGGTGCGACATAGGTGTTAACCTTCGTTTCGGTCTCGACAAAGGAGAAAGAAAGAAAAAGGAAATAATTAAAGAAAAGAGATAAGACGGAGTGGACGCTCGGTAAGCTTACAATCTCGTGTCGACGATCCCGACGAGATTCTACCAGATTCGCGCGTCGGCACCGTCGTCGGCGCTGACGATTTTTACGATATCGCTCACGAAGCCGTTATCGAGAACGGGATCCGCGGAACTTAATGGAGAGAGGCGACCGAAATGACAAATGCGAGGGCAAATCGTTTCTTAATGTGCGACGTATACACTGAGAAAAAAAATTGTTAATCCCAAGAAATATTTAGTTCGATACGTTTAACTAAACATTTTAGTTAGTTAACTAAATATTAGTTGTTTCAACAATTTATTTCGTTTTTTTAATCAAGAATTAATTAATTCAACTAATGTTTAGTTAACTAACTAAAATGTTTAGTTGAACGTATCGGACTAAATATTTCTTGGGATTGACAAATTTTTTTTCTCAGTGTATAAACTCGTAGCGAAAATAAAATAATCGTGCAAAATAAATGTTGCGAATATTGTGTTTTCGTTTAAGCTATCAGTTTGAATAAAGAACAAAGACAAATTATCGTTTGACTTCTGAACTTCGACCATAATTTCACAAAATATTGGATTATTTTATAATGGCTTTCGTAAATGTTGTACATTTTTAAGCGTAAGCAAAGCGTAACCTTTGTTACAAAAAATTTATATATTATATTTGCATTTAGCGTAAAAATAATCAGAGGTTACAGACATATCGATATATACACGTGTGACATTGTAATATAACGCGCAAAATAGAAAAAAGAAAATATCTCTGCATTTAAATGAGAAAAATATCTATCATAAATATATAAGATTGGCACATCAGATTGCGGGAAAATATCATAAAAATTATCAATTGAGAAATGTGTTTCATTTTTAAACGAAAACAAGCAGCTTATTAAGATAAATAAAAAATAAGTCTCCTAGAAATGATTGCGAATATTTCATCGTACGTCTCCGAACTCGCGATTCTTTTTACTAATTCAAACTTGACATTCTTTTTCACAGGAATATCGAGAGAAGAATATACAAATTACATTTGACTCACTTTTAGCGAACTCTATTGTTACGTTCCCACTGAAGCACTCGCGCGCGCGCACACAGCATTCTTCACAACTTGTTATTCATTTATCGAAATCCGTTATTTATCCATTCATTTATAAAAATCTTTATCTACAGAGCTTCGTCTGTACTGCATAAAGCCGGACTGTTATATCTTCAAAGAAGACAGCGCAATCTTGGAGTAATCAGCTGTCACGGAGCTGTGAGAAACTAATTGTAGACAGCATGGTATTTACTATTTAGATACTCGGGAAGGAAACCGGCCAACGAGTCGAAGCTCTCTCTGGCTTTGATTTTTTATCGTTTTTATCGATCGTTCCTACTATTAATAAGTAATTATGATGCTTAACAATGGAAATTACCGATACGCGAATACGATCCACTGACTAATCCAAGAATCAATCGCTCATTAGCTTGTTACCGGTGACGCGTCAATTTTATGTGAGCTGTTCTGTTAGAAATTGCGGGAACGAAATTCTCGCGCGCAACGATTCGAAGATACTGTTCGAAGATACGCAAAGGACGTTCGCAGAGACTCTCTGTAGAGAATACGGAGGATTCTCGTGAAAAAGAGCGGAGCAGAAGAGAAGGAGAACTCACCTGCGCGGCGGAGAGGTACCTCGGAAAAAGCGCGGACGAAGCCGCGGGCTTAAGCTCATATATACCCAGGTGGGCCTCATTAGAATTCAGATGCACGGGCCCCCGCACGATTGGCTGGTTCGTCGACCCTGTGCCTCCCGTTGACGTCCAGGAGCGCCAGCGACGATGACGACGACGATGACGAGGGACGAGATTGTGTCGCAGAGCGATCGCGATCTATCATTCGCGTTCTCGCGAATTGGCGCGAACAAAAAGGAAAAAAGTTTTCTTTCAATTTTTCAACAATGAACCTTGGCTTTCTCGACGTGTTGTCTAAATTTATATTAAATCCTCAAATCTTGATTTTATGAAACGCTCGTCATTTTATGAAGCATCGTGTATTTTTTTATTTTAATATTATTGTGTGTAATATAATACTTCCATATAAATAACATTTTTTTGAAGCACCCTGTGTATATTTATATTACAATAATAAATATTTTACATTTATTTTAATATTATTATATTATTTAAATATAACATTATATTTAAATATGAATAATATGAAGCATATATGAACTTTACGAAGCATTTGCAAACCAAGTCCCAAAATGTTTGAAATTTGAAATATTTTAATGATCTCGTAATAATGCGCCGTAATTTTAATTGTTTTTATAATGATATAAAAATAGTACAATATATTGTACAACTAGTGGGGAAAAGTGGTCGATTCTGAATGAGTGTGAAGTTGACCATCACACTCATTTGGGCTCGACCACTCTTCCCACGAGTTGTTCATACTATTTTTCCTAACAAGAGCGTGAAACAGGCCGCTTTTCGCGTTTGTTTTACAATTTCATTTCTCCACTAGTTGAGAAATAGCTCCATTTTTCAACGCTTACGTCATCATTGCGAAATGGATCGCTTTGCTCACTCAACAAGCGCGAAAAGCGACCCATTTCACGCTCGCGTTAGAAAAATATATTTACTCGCTTTGCTCGTGCGACCAACTTCACACTCATTCAGAATCGACCACTTTTCCCACTAGTTGTACAATATACTATTTTCTATTAATGACGCTCGATCGTTTTATAGCGTTGCGAAGCTCGATCTTAATCAGGCGCAATCAAACAGGATTGGGCTTGGAATGCACCAATAAACCAGTGAATGCATATTTCAGATAAATTGGAGTAGCGCAATATATCACTAATTCAATAACATAATCCGTTTTATTTGACGCGTCATTGAGATGTCGTGACATGTTATCGACATAGAGAACTTCACGTTTGACATTTAAATAAAGCTCTGTATTACGATGCGCGTTACTTTTACCAGCATTTAATGTGAGTTATCTTGAATTTAAATTCTGAAAATAGGGAGTTTACTTGAATTTCATGCGCACACAATAAAAAGCTATTTAATTATTTGTCATAAAAATTGTTTTCTTAAAATGAAATTTAAATTTAAATCAGAAGACAAATAAGAGCAAAACACCGATGTCAAAGTGAAAGATATAATATATAGAAAAGTAACTTTAATACAAACATAAATACAAATTACAGACGTTTCAGCCTTAAGGTTTAGATCTTCTTCGGTGTAACAATTAGAAATCTAGTTATAATCTTAAAATGAGTCGTCAACAACACATATATAGTAGTTGAAATCATGTTCTTTAAACCAGTGTGGTCAACCGTGAAGCTGATTAAAAAGATCAACTAATGGTATAGGTATCGTATATCATAAAATTGACTGCTGCCTTTTAAATAAAAGAAAAGAAACCAAAAACTAACTAACAAATTAGTAATTCGCAGGTGTTACATAATAAAGTGTAAGTAATTCACTCACCAAATAGTCAGCCTCGTAACAGTCACCAATATTTGTGTTTGATACGAGAGATAATACCTTTCTGGTTGTAATCAGCGCACCGACTGAAGGCTTATTAGACTCGATTACAAGGTGAAATGGATACAGACCAATTAGAGTCCCTCTAATCAGAGTCTGGTCATACGGTAGCAACTTTTGATTGGTTCGTCATTTCTTGGCAAAAGCAAAAGAAACTGAAAGAGAAAGAGATAGAAAAGAGACGAAGAAAGAGATGGAAAGAAAGAGAAAGCGATAGTGAATGTATATCCTTCTCTCTCACAGAATTTTGCCAGAACTGTCAAGTTGGCCAGACTCTGATTAAAGGGACTCTATAGGACCAATATCATGAAGCATCACATGTATAACGTAAAAAGGCTAGTCAAAAGACACGGTAGTGTTCCGCGATAAATATACGCGCAGCGAAACAGACCGTTATAGGTATATCTTTACGCGAACCGTCGAGTTGGGAGACCCTTAGATTACCGGATCTCAGCTGAACCGATCAAGTTCTAAATAGGCTTAATCGACAGCTTGGGTTTGATTTATATTATAAAAGTATTTTTATTTTTTGTCTACGTGTCCTACGAGTGGCAATATTGAGGTGCAAAGTCCAAATAAAAACAAACAGAAGATGTCAGATATAGAAGTTTCTCAACAATTGGTGAATGATTATTACAAAGATCTAATGTGTCCTTTTGTAGATTAGAATGTCTACTTTAAATAAACGTATGAAGCGCTAAATTGAAATCTTTTGCTTTAACATCGGCGTTTTGCTCTTATATTTTCCTTATTTGATTGTATATACAGAGAGCGTTTTTCTTGTTCCAGTTTTCTTAAAAAATTTCTACATTTCACATTTTTCAAATTTAAGAACTATTGTCGCTTCGATGTCTTGCAGAGAAATTAAGGTAAAACGCCAAATGTGGCGTATGTGCGTGTAAAGTAATGCAAAGCTTTCAGCACCACGGATGTTAATAAAGAATAGAACAATTAATAATAAGGATATTAGCAAATTTAGGAACATTAATAAGGATTTTAAAAAAGGCAGATGTACGTGTGCAATATAACGAAGCATTCATTCAATCGTTATTTCGCAAGGCCATCAAAGTGTCGCGTTATTGAAATAATCGAAAAGATGTTCTTCATAATCATCTGGCGCGTAATCAAACAGCGCGATGCAGCTGTTAATATACAGGACATCGGCGTGTCCAATTATTATTGCATAAAATTATGCGTGAGTGATCGCACTTTGACCGACGCAAATAAGTTAAGATTATCGAGATCCGAAATTCTAATCGCGAGCTAAAACCGCAAATCTGTTAAGGATGATCTCTGAATCTTATCTCTGCATATCCATTAAACTTCAAAGTGCATAATTAACGAATCAATAACATCTAATTTAGGTTGATCAACGAAAAACACAAAAAGATCAATAAGGATCGACAATGCAGAAATTCTTCTGCGGCTGTTTGCGCACTCGATATTCGGGTGCTCCATTTGATTCGAGTTAAACGCAGGCGGGACTAATATTGGCACAAGTGAAGTCGTTCCACAAAATATTATTTCGCGACTTATAATTACATCTGCTCTCTTATTGATAAAACGCTTTTTTGGCCTCTGTTACATCACCGATGCATGATTATTGATTTATACACAAGGTTGCAAAAGATCAAGCTATAATTACATAGCGATTATTTAATAATTTATTAAAATAGATTGAGTCGTTAAGAATGGGTTTAGAATTTTGCGATTTTTACGACTTTCCTCATAACTTCTACCTTACGACTTGCCTCATACACAAATCGTCTCAATAAAAATAATAATTATGGTACAAAAATTGTATGTGTATTATTACTTAAACTCATATACTCACTAAAATTCGACCCTTCTGTGTAAAAATTGAAATCTTCGCAAATCTTTTACTCCGAGAAAAGAAAGAACGAAACGCGACAGTAATTCGCAGATTTTTTTCGCAGACCACCCCTGAAATCACGTAGATCGTCGATCCAGGATGTCTTGAGCAATCATCAGACGTCAATCACGGAAAAAACAGATCGAGGAATGATGAGAGTTTAAAAATATTCGCCGTAAGTGACAGGTTTGCCGTCACTTTATAGATCCCACGAACGAGGGGATGTTCGATGACGCCGTTCGAGGATACTCCGATACGTGATACTGGGAGCATCCCGGTGTCAATCATGGCTCGGAAAATCCTCGGAATTTCGGGGTGCGCGGCGCGCTCGATTTTTCCGCTAAAAAATTTACATGTCCGTTCACGCGAGGTCGGAGAAGGATGGAGGTCAAGCCACGCATGGACGAAGTCTGTTTGTTTTTTTTTTTTTTTTTTTTTTCACCTCTCTTGACTTCATATTCGAGAGCACGTATTTTATTTCTTTTTTCTTTTACGTCAATCGTCGCGCATTGTTAACGTTTTAATTTGCGTTTCTTTTCCTTTTCTACACATTGTCTACCAATAACGGCGGCAAGGAATCATCGCGGTTTTACATTCTTATAATCCCGTGTCGATTTGCGAGAAAAAAGAATGCACGAGATATAAACATTGGACAATATTAGAAAAACAAATTTAGATTCTTTTATAAGATTCTCATAAAAGAATAAGAATATTCTTATAATAATAGCTGTCATAATAATAGCTTTATTAAGTACAATAATATATAACTGTAGAGAATTAAAAAAAGAAACCGCGTGTATACAATGAACAGAAACTGTCAACAAAGTTTCGATAAGAAAACTTTGCGACTCAGGGGAAGGTATTCGAAACAATGCTTCGTTAACAAACGCGCCTAGAGCAACGCCGATGACACAAATATGTAAACGAACGTGACGTGAGATGTATCGCATTAAACTTTCTCGATTAAGAACGAAGCGCTTCCGCGGGACGGAGTTTAAATGGCCGCTTCGTTCCAGTCCGGAAACATAATTTGTAATCGAGGGGGTGGGTAGGCGGCCGCTTTTCTCGATTATTGCGACGAGTTTTCGGGGCTGCTGGGCATCGTTATTATCG